CATGCGGGACGATCAGGGCCATTTAAGCGAGACTACTTTATTTTGCTGCATGTAAAATATTATTTTTGCAGAATGGTTGTGACTCACTTTAGCCAAAGCATTTTCTAGATACCAACACACAGCCGCATTCAAAATCAGTGGAGACGGAGGTAGAGTTGCGGGGCTTAGACATCATACGACAGCCCCACGCATCGCCACACCACGCCTCGGCGTCAACGTTGCGTCAAAAAACGAGGGAAGTAATCAGCAGTTGGACTGATTTGAAACGGGGGTCTTTAAATCGGCCCGTGCTAAATGCTGACAGACAAGACAGACTGATGGGCAGAAGAGAAGGGGGACAAGAGAAGTTTTACGAGTTGGAGTTTTTCATAATTGCGAAATAATTTAATTTGGCTTTTTTTGGGCCACTCGCTTGAGCATTTTGTTTTTAACTTTCCGTATGGTGACACAGGAATGGAACTTATGTAGACCGACCGCCGCCGTGTACGCAGTGCTGCTCCCCTCACCCCCTGTTCCTCCGGTGCAGCGCAGGGGTCACTTACCCCTACCCGCCGTCTTCGTTATAGCATTTGCAATGCACGCCACCGGCCGGCTCCGGACGTGGAGAGTTATAACCCTTACCCCCCCCCCCCTTTTTCCTCCTCCCCCCCCCCCCCCCCCCCCCCCCCCCCCCCCCCCCCCCCCCCCCCCCCCCCCCCCCCCCCCCCCCCCCCCCCCCCCCCCCCCCCCTGTCCAAAGAAAAAAAAGGAAAGGGGGGGGGGGGCAATGTCATTACCAAAGCCCCACTTCTCCGTTACAGCGCGTGCAAACGGTCAGCGGCTGGCCCGCCAGCACGCCGCCGCCCGGCTCTGCCTCGCGCCTCTGCCGAACGGTATGAAAAACAAATTACTACTTTCTTGATAACGCCCCTCCTCCAGCGGGTGCGCGGCGCGGCGCGCTTCTCCCGGCGCGGCGGCGGCGGCGCCTCGCCACGCGGAACAAGGCAGACCGCAAAGCGCCAAAGAGAGGTCATGTTGAACCGACCACCCCGAGACCCCGAGTGACACGAGATAGTCACGGTCGAGACGTCGTCGAAGTTTACTTTACACCTAAATTACGCGGAAAAATACCCTATTTCACGTTGGTTGGAGGCCGGTTTGCCAGACGTCAACGTTCAGTTTTATGTCACCATGCTTTGTATTTTTCTCTCGGACGTGGACCTCTCCCGCCCCAGTCCTCCTCTCCCTGCCGACTCCAGGGCGCTCCAGGGGGACGCGCGGCTCCTCTTCTCCCCCAGCTGACTCTCCCGGCCCTGCCGGCCCGGCCGCTCTGCCCGTACGCCCCCTCCTCCCCGGCCGGGTGGTGGTCACAGGCCGTGACTCCCAACAAAGCCCCCGCCTCAGCCCCCCCCCCCGTGACGTCATGGACGCAACAAGAAGAGTGGTGCGCACTTTTGTATGCCCCCGCACCAGCCAGCCAAGGGGCCCTTGGCGAGATATCCTGTTCCTCCTCGACCCGCAAGGACGGGGAATGACCTGCTGCGGCTAGAAATAAGGCCCCAAGATTTACGCTTACCTTGCATCTAATCAATATCCGTGACATGCGACAAGCGTAAATAATAGTTTGTCATCTAAAAACAAATCGCACGAACGCTCAAAATTCTAACACGTTTGTACTTTTTTCATTTTCTTTAGAAAGGGGAGCCCGTATAGTCACAAAAATTTTCCTTCTTTTATTTTGGTCGTTGGCCATCGCCCTTCTGACTCCTTGGCCATAACGGACACTATAACCTTACGACGGTCTAAAAAAATAAAAACAATATTTTTCCTGCTTTGAGATACGGTAGAGGCGATAGGGTGTATTAATATGCCCTGCACGCCAGAAGGTCTGCGCCCTCTACTGGAGTCTCTTGAACCCTTGAACTTGCCGACACAATAACTTCAGGATCAGCAAGTGAGCCGCCCACCTCCCTCGCCTGATAAGTCGTTTTCTCGCCCGTTTCGTGTCGCGCCCGCACCCGGCCCGGCGCCACAAGTAAAGGTGTGATTGTTTTTTGTTTTGATTTTTGTGAATTTATTCGCACACCTACCAAAATGTGTAATAAATTTTCTCACACGGCGGACACGAGGGTCCAGACCTAACGCTGGCGGCTCCAGTTCAGTTTGTTTTCTAGATTGAAGTTCTAGCTGGAGTAGCCCGTTCCCTCGGTGATTGCCTTGCGTTGCCTCAGACGGGCTCTACGCGTTAGAGACTTCTGGCCTCGGCTGCCAGCGGCAGGTCCGTTGCGTCCCGAACCCCGACGCCCTTCCAACGAGCGCATGCTTGACAAACTTACATCGTTGTTCACTCAATAACTACACATACTCCCAGTTTCCAATTGGCGGCCCATTGATGTATTCTGAAGTTTGATTCCGGCGGTTTACCTCCGTGAATCTTTCGTCGTGCGCTTTTGTTTCGTTTTCATTTCGGACAGTGCACAGCTTTGGATCTGGAAACAAGATGCAGCAGTCTCTGTGTGTGATCTGCCCGCTGACCAGGCGCACGTGCAGTGGTGCCACAGTGGGGCCGCTGTCCGTGGCCAGAGCCCTCCTCCTCCTCCACCTCCTCCTCGCCCCGAGGCTCAACCGCCCCTCCCCCGCCCGCGCCCTGCCGAGCCAAACGAAACGGAAGAAGCAGACGAGCTGCATTTTTCATCGGAGCACAAACACCGTGGCCACCCGGCCACCCGCGAGCCCCCTCTAGCCACGCTACCCGCGGGGCGCGCTCTGGGCTCTGGCAGTGCACCACCCTCCCCCTGGCCTCTACAAACACCCCCTCAAGCACCCTCACGGCGGGGCAGCACCCTCACCGAGCTGCACAGGTAAGGACTGGGACTGGACTGTGAGAGAACGAAGTCGTTCTGTCCGACACCCAGTCTTGTTTCGGGACAGAGCGCCCCTTGTGGGTAGGCAACAACTGCTCTATACGCACACGCGTGTCTCGCAGGGTTGCCTACCCCGTGTCTTGCAGGCGCTCCGCGCTCCCCTACCCAATCAAGCACAGTGACGCGACGTTACGGTACTTTCTCGTTTTTCTAAAAAACGATGTTGATTGTTGATTCCTTTTTTACGTGTTATATTTCGCTGCTGCCGTGTTTCATTCCAGAACTCTGGGCTGCTCTCGTGCCGTCGGGTGGCGGCGTTGGCGCGCGCGGCGCTGCTCGCGGGGCCGGGACTGGTTGAAATCAATCTGGACTGTTTGTTCTGCTGGTATTGAAGGAAGGCTGAAGGATGAGTGAAGTCGAGAGGACCATGTGGTGGCGGGAGGGGGGCTCCTGGAGGCGCTGAGCACCTCTCGCTCGTCCCGTCGTCGGTCAGCTCTACGTTTACGAGCGACTTTGGGAAGAGAGCGGAGGAGGGAGAGAAATGTTGAATGGGACAATTAGAAATGGGAGAGAGAAGGAGATAGGAAGGGTGCGACGTCGAGGAGACAGGAGGAGGGGGGAGGGGGGA